TGCAGAATGCAAAGTGACCATGGCAGCACCTCACGATACTCTACGCACATCCTCTTATCTACTCATTACCAATTACCACTGAAATCGCTTGTCACTCATTCTGCCTCAGTTCTAGTAGCGGTGACGCATGCGAGCCTCAGTCGTTTACACTCTTTCTCCCCGGCGTGTCGGACCGCAGCTAACAATTATCTCCGTGTGCATTTCATTCTCAGCAATAGCCTCCCCGGCGTATACGACCCATCTGCTGTCCTTAACATCAATCAATTCATTCATGGATGTAGAAGACAAGAAACAACTTCAGAAGTAATCACGACGAAAATTTTAACAAAATTATGCAATAACAACAAGATACGAAAACAACGAGTAAACACAATGAATTCAAAAAACACCAATTGATATGACACACAACACGTATATACAAACAGTACACACAAACTCGCATTTCATGTCTTGATGGAATACCCTTGAAGAATTGCAGGACTTACACCAGTACGCCTACAAACCTTCACAGGTTGACGATTGTAATTTGTGGAATGTCCGGACACAAACAAGATTAACCAACAATTACATCAATTGGAACTCACACAACTATTTAACACAAACATATGTACAATCAACACATCAAATGTTGTGGATTCTGACACGACAAACTACCCTTGAAGAACCGTAGGACTTACAGCAGTACGCCTACATTCCTTCTCAGGTTGATGATCCAAGTGGAAGTCGTCCGGACACAAACAGAATTACCAACAGCTAGATGATAAATGATATCAATTCAGTATATACAATATGAACATATGTACAAGATCATACACCAAGCACATTGGACTGCTCATTGATGCGCTACCCTTTGAAGAACTGTAGGACTTACACCAGTACGCCTACAACCCTTCTCAGGTTGACGCCCTAGGTTGGAAAATCGTCGCAGAGTTCATTTGCTAACTTCCTTCTATCAGCTATATCCTCAAATCTGAACGGCAACACGCCCATGTCATTGTATCGTAGAATATAGATGACGAACAAACACACGACATATCTCATCAACCAAGTGTAGAAACAGAGTAATTTACACCAAAGATAATAACATTCAAATAGTAACTTGAAACTAGAAATGCCTTTATTCGTGCAAGTCAATTTAACAATAACTCTCTCCTTTACACTTGGCTTATCCACACTAAACTGACCATTGATATTCGTCCTTTCAAACGAACTGATACTACCATAGTCATTGCACAAGATACTTGAGTTGATGGGTGTCTGTTTCATTGTGGATGACAGCACCAACGATGACTGAGTGACACAAGGTGATGAACTTAGTGGTGGATCAGAAGCTGTTCTTGTTCGGCTCTCAGATAGTTGTCCAACTGCAAGATTACCACCACTGCTGTCTTTCACTACTAGTTCGGGTTTAGCACTATCATCTGATGATAGGTGGGCTACACGCTGATCAATTACACTGACTGTCTCACAAGTATGCACACCTTTTGGAACTGCATCTGCGTTCAATTCTACTTCACGTTGTAGTTGTACAGAACCTTTATTTAACTTAGCAGTAGTAGGCATATCCCTCATCTCATAATGATCAACCAAAGAGAAATCTGCACTATCATGATCATTACCACAAATATTCAATTTACCGTCAACTTCATCATTTTCAAACTCTTTAATAACAGAAGTAGACAATTTTGGTTCCTCCTCACAAATCATTAAAGGTTTTATATCTTCACTCTGACTAGTTATACCTTGTAAACTTTTGGAGTCAGAACTGCACTCTGAAGCAGTAACTCTATTCTGTGACACTCTATTCAACAATGGCTTACCAGTTGCAACTACAGACTTCTTGACCGCACCGTTATCGTCACACAATTCGGAGTCAGGCCTGGAGTTTACATTTAGCTTATCACTGAACTTGCTCACTGGTTCACAGTTCACCTTTGTATGCACCTCTTGCAAACGTGTACAACACAACCGTGTTTGTCTTGCATCTTGCAACTTATCTGTTGAGGATGTACTACGAAACCTGTTACACTCACTAGATCTATATGCATTACTAGACATCATGGAGCCTTCTCGATATCCACCTCTCTGAGGCTTATTCGTCATCAATGAGTGCGTTTTACCCTCAGACTGCTCTATTCTAGGGTGAGATCTAATAGACTGGAAAACTTGCTCATAGATTGATTGACACTAGTATTTACCAGTTTCAGGATATCATCAAACTTTGGCTCGATACCCTCATCCTCCATACGGGAGCTTATCTTCACCCACTTCCTTTGCAGTCGAGTAGGTAGACGTCTTGCTATTACTTCTAGTATAAAACTCGAGTTGAGGTCACTCATTCGATTCATCGAAATCATTCCATTCTTGTAAATTAGCAAATTATCTAAAAACTCAGTGAGTGCCTGGGAGTCATCCTGTAATTGACCACCATTACCCTTAACAGCCTCGAATAATTTCCCTGCAATCATCGAAGGTCTTCCAAACCTTTGACGTAATATGCTCATAGCATCGTAGTAGCCCTCTTTTGGCTTCATAAACTTACAGCACTGTATAGCTCTTGCAGCATCTCCAGTGCAATATCTCATCAAATACATTAACTTCAATTCATCATTTAATAGAAAACTACTCAGCATGATCTCAAACTCCTTTACAAATTGTAAATAATCGGCCGGGTTTCCATCAAAACACCGTGGTTCTAATTTAGGGAGTTTGATGTTCCTATTATCCCTGAACGGCGAAACAGTAACATCAACCATGTCATGCTTAACATCAGACACATCGTTACAATTAACAGACAAGTCACCATGACTTACTTTCCTGTTTGCATCCAAGACACTCTGTCCCTTCTTTGACCCAGGCATTGTTGAACTTGACCCAATTCCAAAAACGTTCCAGATATTGCTTGTTCAAAGAGGACTTGACCGGCACCAGGAAAGATGAACGGCGACTATCCAAACTTTCACCAACTGTTTGAATCCGCCAGATCTGTTTCTATCGTCAGAAACTGTCAATCACGTCTCATAAACCGTTAATGCCCAGCTCTCGCTACGCTCGGGCCCACGCTGTTCTTCGAAGATTTCTCAGAAACGCTTAGTTATAACGGACGCAAAAACCAAAACACTGATCTGCCGCTTTAGATTTGTTTATTGTTACACCAACATATAAAAGGAATAAGCGAACTAAGTAAACTAAGATCTGAAAACTAATATTACAATAATAAATCATTGTTACTTCTGACGATGTTTCACTCTTCTTTCTGAACAGCGACCGATGAGACGATGACTGTCGTATTGATGCCTCCGCGAAAATTGGGGAAGTTGATTTTGAGCAAACAACCAAGAATCGATCGTTCAATCTTCAACTCCATAGACAGCCGCTATTTCGTTGAAGTTTTTCACAAATAGACTACAAAATGCTGCTCTCTGCAGGAAGTGTAAGCTTTCTCTCGAATGGAAGTAACTCGAAGACGGGGCTGGCACTGATTATTCTGGTGTATCAAGCTGTCGTCCAGAAAATATAAAGAATCCGCCGTCTAAGTCAATGTATGGTAGGAAACTACGACTACCAAAACACAGTGAGACCTGTCCGGGTCATTGAGAATGGAATATAGAGAGCTCTGAAACAGCGGAAAGAAGCAGTAAGAAACGTGAGGCAAAGAGGCTGGTAGAAATTGAAACAGGAGAGATGAAGGTCCTTGTGAAATGATGCATAGAGCAGGGAATGAAGGTAGAAGTGGCAGAAAACTAGTACCCTCGGAGAACTGAAATTTCTGTGTTAGACTTTTTTATTTCGGCATATATGGTTTTGGCAAATAAAAACACCGATGCATTGAACTAACAATTCATGCTTATCGTCAAGACAAAATCCTATGAAATCGCTCGCCAAATATGTGTGAGTCCACTTCGCCTTCTATTTAGCATGGCAGAAACTACATTCCCAAAAATGATTCCATGATTCAGTTAGTTAGGACTAAAATGAATATGAAGTGTTGCAGTGACTGCAGTTATTCAGGGACTATCAGGAACCGTCGGGAAGCCTAAAAGTATTATGACCCCTAGTCCATCAAATTTCAACTCTACAGTAAGTTCTGTGTTTTCTCCAAACGTTTCCAGTTTTTATTCTTGTTTTATGTACTACCACCTCAATATCATTTCTTTGGGGAGGCGCAGTGGAGCAATGACGATTACATTGAATGCATCCTATCCCCCAGCTCACCTGTCCTAACATAACTTCATATTGGGAAACGTCTGCAAGCAGGTCGAGGACAGTGACTTGAAAGTCTGAAAGGAGATGCATATATCGCAAATGACCTTGACGAACTCCGATGCGTGCTTAGGTAACCAAGATCCATGAAAGAATAGGTGGAAGCAACCCGAAAGCAATCGAGGTGGAGATGGAGTTTTGTTAGTGTATAAAAGCAGTGAATATCAGAACAACGGTCGATTACTGATTTTGTGGAAAGATCTGAGTCCACGTTTCACTCCCTTAGTGGGATTGTGAAGCAATTGCTATGAAATTATCTAGAGCTATATTCAATAAGAAATCTCAGCATTCAAAGAGTTCAGTAAAACTACTTTTTATATAGGAAACTTTCTCAGAACAGCAGTTTCAAAGCGACGGCAAAAGATATGAACTTAGAGGAGGATTTATGTCTCATTTCCTAAAAACTCGATGATATTTCAGAGAAAATCAACAAGTTGGCAGGGGAGTCAGCAAAATCAAAAATTCGGGTGGTCACATACATTGCGGGAAACGAATGACCGTTTTTATTCTCATCACATGGTCTTTGAACTTGAAAATTTCCCACATTACAAAGGTGGTCATCCATGGTCGAAACATTAGTTTCATGCAATATATATATTTTCTAACGATCAAATTGACACAGCTTATCTGCCGAAGGAACTTTTTCGAATTTAATAAAGGCCCAGAACGTATATTAAACGTAAGCAAACTAGCTGCAGTTGACTTTGGATTTTCTAATTTTCATGGTACTGTATATTGGAACATTGAGTACCGCTACACTTGTTGGCGCTAGGACAAGGTCCACTTATGAAATGCAGAACAAGTGGTACTCGATACTCAGTTATCTGCGGAAGGTTAGTTACTCCCAACCGCTTGATTCGCTTTTGTAATCTTCGCGAAAATCGCCACTGTACTGGTCTAAAAAGGTATCAATTTCTAAAGCCGCTTACTCCCCTAAGTGTGTGTGTGACGTATCATCCTAGTAATTAATCACCTAACTGTACACCTATCCCACCGTATATTCATGTGTGACTCTTTATTATGTAAAGACAGCTGTCCGGAAACCAAAAATCCAACCTGCACCACATGGGGCAACATCCCTGTAATTGCGCACTTATTATGTGTCAAATGAATTGGAATGTGGTGACTGGGTGACTTTTAGACAGTAGATTCTTTTGGTTGAATGGACGATAGTCGGGAGAAAGTAGCAAACGATACCTGTTATGACTGCATATAGATAAATAGCCTGGTTATTCCTAGCCATCAGAGTGCCTTCAGAGCTAAACCACGGTTTAGCCTGACTGCAGTCAGGCAAGGCTACAATAGGTCTGATATTTCAGTTAATACATGGTCATGTGTGTAGTTGTATGGGTGTCTTGGAGTTCTCATTTCAGCATGGTTCTGCTACTTCAGTAGCATTACGGTGGTCTTTTAATTCTCCAAGTGGACTACCTAGTGTGATATGAATTTTTTAATTTGGGCGTAACTGGATACTGGTGTATTTTAAACTAACGGTTATTATTGATGCCACCTGTTTGAATCAAGGTTCGAGACCTTAAACCTAGCAGTAACTTTGGTGCTAATTGCGGCAAATGCTGATCAGGGCTACCTAGTTTCAAAACAACACAGCTTGTGAACTGTCTTTCTATTTCTATTCAGAATTCTCCCAAAGGACGGCCACTTCGCTAGTGCACTTCGGTGTATTGTTTCGGTTTAATCTTCTCTGTCTTTGCTAGTAGAATTTTGTCGCTCACTGAACTGAGATTCGGGGCATATTTGTACTGTATTCATAAGAAGTTTCGGTAATAATTAAATTAGCCAAACATCATATCGAACATCAAATGAAAGATGGAAGTAATTCGATGAAATATTTCACGCAGAAACTAGGGTGTGGGGTGAAATAGTTAAGAATGCTGGCATTGAGATGATAGGCTGAAAATACATCTAAGTCTAATCACACCTAATTAGGAGGCTTCTTGTCTCTATCATCTCAAGCCAATATACAATAGTTTCATGAAGTAGTAGCATGGTTAGTTCTCTTCCTGTAACAGCGCGATGAGACAAGTGGAGGGGAGGCATGCATATCTCATGAAAGCTTGAATGGGTTGCTAGGTTAGAGTTGATCAGGTCCAAGTAGTTACTTGTTTGCCTGGCTGCTATGAGGGGTTGCCACATCCCAACCATTAACGTTTTTGATAACTGTGGCTAACAAGTTAACGAGCGCACAGTCCACTAAACAATATAAGAAACTTGTTTCGTCTAACTGATAATGGCAACGCGGTGAAGATTGGTTTAATCTATATCGTCGCGTGTTATGCTTTAATACTATCTGTTAAATTTTATTACTTTTGTGGTAAGCAGTTCATTACTGTATATCACAATGCACAGAAACACTCACTTCTTGAGCGTCAGTGCTGTAGATTTTCTGATGGCTAGAAAATTTGTTTGGATTGTTCTAGTCAACTAAACAGATCCAAATCATACGCAAATATCTCCAAAGCTCTCCAGCTTCAATTTTTTATATAGTTCTACATACTGCTTCCGAGTGGAAGCCAGGTTAAACTTGATGGATTACATATGTTAAACCAATACAAGTTTGTAACATTTGTCTGCTCTCCTACGCATTTTTCATGTTTCAGACCTTTTTAAAATAATTTTAAACCATCTGGATTGGACTGGAGTTCATAGTTGTATTCAAGTGCACAACTTTAACCAGGATTCTTCATAAAGAGCAATACTGTGTACTTGTGTTAATGGTTCGACTTATAGCTGGCACATTTACGTGACTTGTGTATCTAAGCAAGCCGTACTGGCTAGTATAAATGTTCTTGACATGTTAGAAAGATTGGTTAGATTGTGGTTAAACCAAGACCACCTACCACCACGGGGTAATTTGCTTATCCTATGGTGTAGATTTGAGGTGGTATAATAGCTATAAGATTTTTCCAATAAGCTAGAGGTAGTCTCCTCACTCTTGGGGAAGTTACTAAAGGCTGACCCGAAAAATTGCACATCTCGACTTTCTCCGTCCGTAATTGGCTGTAAAGTCTTCTTTACTGACGAAGCGCTGTCTCCGAAAAGACTGTGACCAGTTACAAGCAGTTATCTCTTGGGATCTCCGGTCAAAACACTACTGTATTTCGAGAAATTGACCTTGATTTGAGCATCAGAGACGTAAGAACTACCCATACACCTCTGTAAGCACTAATTTCATCTGTTAATTTCCGTCACCATCTTGCTTTCATCCCACTTCTGATACTCTCTCAGGAAGTTTCATCTTTTGTTAACCCTGTGACCACTGGTGGCGAGTTGAGCCCGGAGAAAACGGTCCTCAGTATCTTGAAACCATCTAGCCGAATTCATTTTGGTGCCTTCAACGTCCTGACCTTGTCCAATCAGACAACAGATTTCACTTACTTAGACTCTGGCACCTCGGGCTTTGGATATTTATCGTGTAACTGAGACATATTTGGACTACAGTTATTAACTTGACCGAACCTGACCAATTGTGAATCTACAAAATCCAGTTTTCGTGTATCCGCAGATTCGCTGTATCGTTGCCGTAAATTTAACAGTCTGAGTATGGTATTAAGCTTGAGAATAGGAAACTTGCTATTTGATTGGATGCAAGTGGACACTCATCTGTCATGTTCTGCTGAATGGAAATATAAAGGCAAAAGAAGATAAGGATAGCCGTCATTACCATTTTGTAATCTCTTCTTTCATTATGAATGAACTGACGGATATGACACCGGTCAACCTTAATGTTTCAAAGGTTGACTTGTTATTAAGAGGTAATCCCATCAACCTAGAGTATCCAGATAATATAGTGCTTCGGAACGAAGTTACTGATAAAATAGTCTTTTGAACGGATTGAACAAGAATTTTTGACATGCGATTCACCCCTCTCAAGTCTGAATTCATACCACAGGAATAGTCTATACCACCTAGTTTAATGATAGTGACATAGTTGAATATGTTGACCACTTCACACGTTTTGGAAGTGTATCCACCCCCAGTCGACCGGTTACTAACCAAATCTCAGCAAAAGGCTCATATTTCATTTGTCAACTTTCGTGCATAACGCCTTTTGAAAGCTGTAATTTTCAATTTGAAGTGTAGTCCCAGTAGATATTGTATAGTGTTCCATGAACTTGCAAAGAAAGAATTTTTAGAAACAGGTGTAGTAGGGTCGATAAGCAGAAAAAAATTCACTGCAAGTCTAGCTGTGTGAGTGATCAACTCGGATGGTTTCTGATAAGTTTTTCCTCACTTCAAAGCCTATTTGTTGGTCACATGAGAGGCCTGTTTAAAGCTATTTGAATCCTTAAAGTCTCATCCATACAAAAACCCTATCCCCAGTCATTCAGTTTGTGAAGCCGACGTTTTAATCATTCAGCTTGAAAAGATAGCAGGAAACCTAACTGGTTGGTTGTCCGAGTGAAGTTGACTGACTGTTGTCAAACTGATATCCATCAGTAGTAAGATTTCCCTCTCAGACTCATCATATTATAATCAGCTTACACTATATTAGTATGTGCTTTTTGTTCATCTAGTCATTTTAAGTTTGAATAACTCAGAGAAACAACTTTCTTCATTAGGCACAGTTTGTAAAGATATTGTGAATTGATCTGTGAAGCCGATGAGCACCTAAAAGTGGCTGTGACAGTAATTAGATAAGAGGTACACTGATCAGAAAGGTTGTATGCCTTCCTCACTTATGATGATTATCACGTGTTACGCGTGCGTAGTCTCTCTCCGTATGTATCAATCAGAATATTATTCAGTCTGAGGTAAGGTGTGTCCTTATAAAAAAGGTAGCATCAACCCATGAGGTTAGTGATTGTTGGAATGAGCCTTATACTAGTGTATACCGTCTCTGGCTACTGGCCAAAGAACGTGTATATTGCTCAGCAGTCCACCCCGTACTCCTTTATGGCTGTGAAATCTGACCATTGAAAGTGGAAGACATGGAAAGACTAGCTGTCTTTGATTATAGGTGCCTGCGTTCTATCTTCCGTGTGAAGTGGTTTATAGGGTGAGCAATACTGAGGTTAGGCGTCGGTCGAGTGCTAGATGAGTTGTAGAGGAAATCAATAGACGCAACTGTAAAGTTGCATGGGTTGCGTGAGATGGTTAGGACATGTGTTATGTATGCCCAACCATCGCCTTCCTCAACAACGGGCGATGTTAGCTGACATAGGATCACGTTGGAAAAGAACCAATGGTGGTGAAAACAAAACACGACTGAATCAGTCAATGAAGTAAATCCACAACAGTTAGTTTAAGCAATGTAGGAAGGTGTAGACTTTCTGGTTGGGGTCCTCGCGATGTGAAACATCAATGGCTGGAGACAACTGGTGATATGGCTCAATATCGTTCTCAGTAGCGCAGATGCATCAACTCTTTGTGACTTATAATTTCCAATGAAACTACATTGTTCTTCGTTACTTCTATTTCTTTGTCTCACACCTCCGTTTACTGTAAGTATTATGCATTTCTTCTACCTACTTCTCTTGTTTTGAGTACTACATAGAGTGTGGCGACTTAAACTACCGCACATCCGTGCACAGTTAAATGTTGAAATCAGTCAGTCAGTTAGCAGTTGAGATCTGTAAGCATCTGGAAATTAATGACTAAAGACTGTAGGTGATATGACTACTTCGGTTGCATGTATTCACGCTTTGTCTAAATATTAATAATAATAATGAAACATTTATATATTTTACCTTTTACCCTCTAATCAGTCATATCGCATTTTAGATTTTATTCTCAAATTTTACTGGAGTACTCAAGTGATATGTAGTAAATTGAGTCTTTACTTAGTAAACATCTAGTCTTATTTTGCCATATA